GACAGAAATAAGCATAGGCTTAGGATGAAAGGCTGGAAGAAGATTTACCAAGCCAATGGCCCCCAAAAACAGGCAGGAGTAGCAATACTTATCTCTGACAAAGTAGACTTCAAACCTACATTGATCAAATGAGATAAAGAGGACATTCCACTAATAAAAGGGGAAATAGACCAAAAGGAAATAATAATCATCAATCTGTATGCACCCAATGTCAACGCACCCAATTTCATCAAACATACCCTGAAAGACCTAAAAGCATATATAAACGCCAACACAGTGGTTGTGGGAGACTTTAACACCCCATTATCATCAATAGATAGGTCATCCAAACAAAAATCAATAAAGAAATCCAAGATCTAAAATATGCAATAGATCAATGGACCTAGTGATGTCTACAGAACATTTCATCCAACTTCTACACAATATACATTCTTCTCAGCAGCCCATGGAACCTTCTCCAAAATAGATCATATCCTAGGGCACAAAGCAAGCCTCAGCAAATATAAGAAAATAGAAATATACCGTGCATACTATCTGATCACAATGCAATAAAAGTAGAACTCAACAACAAAAGTAAAGACAAAAAACATGCAAACAGCTGGAAACTAAATACCTCATTACTTAAAGAAGAATGGATCATGGATGAAATAAAAGAGGAAATTAAAAAGTTCCTAGAAGTCAATGAAAATGAAAACACAACCTACCGGAACCTATGGGACACAGCTAAGGCAGTCCTGAGAGGAAAGTTTATAGCCATGAGTGCATATATTAAAAAGACTGAAAGATCCCAAATCAATGACCTAATGATACATCTCAAACTCCTAGAAAAACAAGAACAAGCAAATCCCAAAACAAATAGAAGGAGAGAAATAATAAAAATAAGAGCTGAAATCAACGAAATAGAAACCAAAAAAACCATACAAAGAATTAATGAAACAAAAAGTTGGTTCTTTGAAAAAATAAACAAGATCGATAGACCCCTGGCAAACCTGACTAAAATGAGGAGAGAAAAAACCCAAATTAGTAGAATCAGGAATGCAAAAGGGAGATAACAACAAACACCATGGAAGTCCAGGAAATCATCAGAGACTACTTGAGAACCTATATTCAAATAAATTTGAAAATCTAAAAGAAATGGACAGATTTCTAGATACATATGATCATCCAAAACTGAACCAAGAGGAAATTAATCACCTGAATAGATCTATAACACAAAATGAAATTGAAGCAGCAATCAAGAGTCTCCCCAAAAAGAAAAGTCCAGGACCTGATGGATTCTCTGCTGAATTCTATCAGACCTTTAAAGAAGAACTGATACCAACCCTCCTTAAACTGTTCCATGAAATAGAAAGGGAAGGAAAACTGCCAAACACATTTTATGAAGCCAGTATTACACTTATCCCAAAACCAGGCAAAGACACCTCCAAAAAGGAGAACTATAGGCCAATCTCCTTAATGAACATTGATGCAAAAATCCTCAACAAAATAATGGCAAACCGAATTCAGCAACACATCAAAAAGATTATTCACCACGACCAGTAGGCTTCATCCCAGGGATGCAGGGTGGTTCAACATACGAAAATCAATAAACGTAATAAACCACATTAACAGAAGCAAAGACAAAAACCACTTGATCATCTCAATAGATGCAGAAAAAGCCTTTGATAAGATCCAACATCATTTCATGATAAAAGCTCTAAGAAAACTAGGAATAGAAGGAAAGTTCCTCAACATTATAAAAGCTATATATGACAAACCTACAGCCAGCATTATACTTAACGGAGAAAAATTAAAACCATTCCCTCTAAAATCAGGAACCAGACAAGGATGCCCACTATCTCCACTCCTATTCAACATAGTACTGGAATTCCTAGCCAGAGCAATTAGGCAAGAAGAAGGAATAAAAGGAATACAAATAGGTAAAGAAACTGTCAAAATATCCCTATTTGCAGACGACATGATCCTATACCTTAAAGACCCAAAAAACTCTACTCAGAAGCTTCTAGACATCATCAATAGCTATAGCAAGGTAGCAGGATATAAAATCAACATAGAAAAATCATTAGCATTTCTATACACTAACAATGAGCAAACGGAAAAAGAATGTATGAAAACAATTCCATTTACAATAGCCTCAAAAAAATCAAATACCTAGGTGTAAACCTAACAAAAGATGTGAAAGACCTCTACAAGGAAAACTATACACTTCTGAAGAAAGAGATTGAGGAAGACTATAGAAAGTGGAGAGATCTCCCATGCTCATGGATTGGTAGAATCAACATAGTAAAAATGTCTATACTCCCAAAAGTAATCTACATGTTTAATGCAATTCCCATCAAAATTCCAATGACATTCATTAAAGAGATTGAAAAATCTACTGTAAATTTATATGGAAACACAAGAGGCCACGAATAGCCAAGGCAATACTCAGTCAAAAGAACAATGCAGGAGGTATCACAATACCTGACTTCAAACTATATTACAAAGCAATAACAATAAAAACAGCATGGTACTGGCAAAAAACAGACATGAAGACCAGTGGAACAGAATAGAGGATCCAGATATGAAGCCACACAACTATAAGCAACTTATCTTTGACAAAGGAGCTAAAAATATACGATGGAGAAATAGCAGCCTCTTCAACAAAAACTGCTGGGAAAACTGGTTAGCAGTCTGCAAAAAACTGAAACTAGATCCATGTATATCACCCTATACCAAGATTAACTCAAAATGGATCAAGGATCTTAATATCAGACCCCAAACTCTTAAGTTGATACAGAAAGAGTAGGAAATACTCTGGAGTTAGTAGGTATAGGTAAGAACTTTCTCAATGAAACCCCAGCAGCACAGCAACTAAGAGATAGCATAGATAAATGGGACCTCATAAAACTAAAAAGCTTCTGTTCATCAAAAGAAATGGTCTCTAAACTGAAGAGAACACCCACAGAGTGGGAGAAAATATTTGCCACTATACATCAGACAAAGGACTGATAACCAGAATATACAGGGAACTTAAAAAACTAAATTCTCCCAAAACTAATGAACCAATAAAGAAATGGGCAGTGAACTAAACAGAACTTTCTCAAAAGAAGAAATTCAAATGGCCAAAAACACATGAAAAAATGCTCACCATCTCTAGCAATAAAGGAAATGCAAATTAAAACCACACTAAGATTCCACCTCACCCCTGTTAGAATAGCCATCATCAGCAACACCACCAACAACAGGTGTTGGCGAGGATGCGGGGAAAAAGGAACCCTCTTACACTGTTGGTGGGAATGTAGACTAGTACAACCACTCTGGAAAAAAATTTGGAGGCTACTTAAAAAGCTGGACATCGATCTACCATTTGATCCAGCAATACCACTCTTGGGGATATACCCAAAAGACTGTTACTCCAGAGGCACCTGCACACCATGTTTATTGCGGCACTATTCACAATAGCCAAGTTATGGAAACAGCCAAGATGCCCCAGCACTGACGAATGGATTAAGAAAATGTGGTATCTATACACAATGGAATTTTATGCAGCCATGAAGAAGAACGAAATGTTATCATTCGCTGGTAAATGGATGGAATTGGAGAACATCATTCTGAGTGAGGTTAGCCTGGCCCAAAAGACCAAAAATCATATGTTCTCCCTCATATGTGGACATTAGATCAAGGGCAAACACAACAAGGGGATTGGACTATGAGCACATGATAAAAGCGAGAGCACACAAGGGAGGGGTGAGGATAGGTAAGACACCTAAAAAACTAGCTAGCATTTGTTGCCCTTAATGCAGAGAAACTAAAGCAGATACCTTAAAGCAACTGAGGCCAATAGGAAAAGGGGACCAGGAACTAGAGAAAAGGTTAGATTAAAAAGAATTAACCTAGAAGGTAACACCCACGCACAGGAAATCAATGTGAGTCAATGCCCTGTATAGCTATCCTTATCTCAACCAGCAAAACCCCTTGTTCCTTCCTATTATTGCTTATACTCTCTCTACAACAAAATTAGAGATAAGGGCAAAATAGTTTCTGCTGGGTATTGAGGGGGGAAGCGGGAGGGGGTGGAGTGGGTGGTAAGGGAGGGGGTGGGGGCAGGGGGGAGAAATAAACCAAGCCTTGTATGCACATATGAATAATAAAAGAAAAATGAAAAAATAAATAAATAAATAAATAAAATTTTCAGCACTCAATTCTACATATAAAATTCAGGATTTAAACACTCACAAAGGCAGATACACCATTCAATAAATGCTTGATAATGCTGAACAATGGGGAGGGTAAAAATGTAGCAATTCCATTTTTGAGAACTTGCCCAAAAGGATTAAGGATATATATAAACAGGACTGTAAAATGGGAGTACCACACAGCTCTTAAGAATGGGCATGTAACCCCTCCACTTGCTGGCATAGAAGATGCCCAGGTTATACTGCTAAATTAAAAAAGCATGTTCTAAGACATGCAGCACATCCTACCTTTATTCAAAGAAAAACTACAAACCTACAAATCCTTCCATAATTCCTTATATTCTGCACAGATGAATGAACATTAGAGAGCAAAATGTTAAGTTTTTATCTCATGGCAACAGGATTACTACTAATTTTCAGTTTCTTCTTCTTTTTTTTCTTTGTGGTACTGCGCACTGAACTCAGGGCCTTGTGTTTGCTAAATAGCACTCTATTACTTGAGCCACACCTCTGTTTCTCTTTCAGTTTGTTTTTCAGATAAGGTCTTGCTTTTGCCTGGGGCTGAACTCAGAGCGCTTCCTGCCTCTGCCTCCTGTAGCTGGGATTACAGATGTGCACTACCATACTTGGTTGTTAAATTAGCTTTGTTATAAAGACTCCAGAAATGGGCCCTACCACTTAAGAGGTCACTGTCATCTACTGGGGCTGAGAAAGATCCTTTGTTCCTCACAAACCCTGCTGAGTACACAAAGGAGCAGGGCTCAGGGAGCAGTTCTCAAGCCCGCTTTGTGGTGTTTGAGGACAGAGAAGGCTGGCACCTACCTGTGTATATGTCCATGAAGCTGTGCAAGGCCAGACAGTGGGGGTTCAGACACATCTTCACCTGGGCAGTCACCACCTGCAGCCGGCTAGCTGTCAGCAGCCAGCACTCCTGGGGCCCAGCCAGGGAGCTAATGCCAAAAATACCACAGTAAGTATCAGAAGGGAAATCAGTCTCTTTATGCAGATCCTAGGCCCAGCAATCAGTGGTAAAATTCTCAAGATGTTACTGCAACAGGCTAAGGAAGGTGATGGAGCTTGGGTTCTAAGGTTTCTACATGTATCTTTGTTGGAATCTAGCCTATTAAGCCTCCTCTATAATTAATATAACTGAAGTTATTACATGATTTAACCAATTCCAGTGAAGTTCCAAACCCAAACACTGTGCTGGGCAGTTCAGATGTAATCTAAATTCTAAGCTGGTTATAATAACTTTCAGCCATTTTCAAGAGAAACAATAATTACTTATTAACTTACCATTACCAATTAGAAAGATAAAAGAAGCCTAAGCAAAGCAGAAAATAACATCTCTACATGTTGTAACTTTAAAGTTGTCTGAAGAAAAGAGTAACATGAGCCAAGTATGAGGCAGAGTAAAGGGGTACTTACTTTTGTTCCCCTTTGAATAATGGGCTGCTACAGAGAAGGCACTGCGTGGATGGAGACTCATAATAATTCGACCAAGAGGTTTGCTCTATGGTGACTGTCTCCTCACTCACGTTGGACAGGATAAGTCGAGAGCTGTTGAGCTCATGAATCAGGGCGAAGACCTCAGCCAGGTCTGACTCATTCTCAGGAATCTGCAGGACTTTACGCAGCAGCTGCAGTGTAGACTGTCGCTGGATCTCCCTCTGGGCCACGCTCAGGGGCTCTGTGGCACTCTGCACACTTGGGAGTGGTGAGCTTGCCTCCTGGGAAGAGAGTGGATTGAGCACCAAACACTCTGGGTTGAATGAGCCAGCCTCAGGATGAAATTAGTAAAGTCTGCAGGAAGCAGAGATATGAGCCTTTGCCTGAGGGGTGGGAAACTGAAGTTCCTAACACTTTGGCTAATGACCTGCCCTACAACTAAAAGCCTGTGCTTCTCTTTCTGGTGTTCAGTTTTACTGTTCGTAAAATAGGAGGATTATCTGCACCTTTCAATAAGGAATTCAATCCTTAGCTCTCATTCATCAGAAGGATAAGACTTGGGTTTTAGTTCTGAAGCTATCACTAGATGTGGGATCCAACGCAATTTATTTGATCTTCCTGAGTCTTCATTTCCTCATTTTATGGGGGTTGTGCGGATTAAATGAGATATTGTAAGTAAAGCAATTAGCACAGTACCTATGATTCACAAAGACTATGAACAGTAGTGTTGATATATAAATGTCTGCTCTGCTTAAAGTATTTGTCTTAATTCTTTGTGGCTTCTAGGTACAAGAGAATTTTATACACTAGTCAGAGGTTTCCAGGACCAAGATTCTGAATTGCTCATTAAAAACAGGTCCTTCTCAAGTGGCTCTCTTCAATGGAGGCTCCTCCCCAATCCTTTCTGCCATGCAGCATGGCTCTGTGCTTCCTGAGTGTATCCCTTTATGGCATGCATCATGTCCTAGTTGCTAAACCACTGCTGCCACCTTTAGTGAGGATAGGGTCCCTCTCTGCTTACTTATTTATTCCCCAAACCAGCATTAGGCCTAGTATACATGAAGATGCAGATTCATATTTGCTGGGTATTTTACACACTGCTTTGTAGAAGCTTACTGACCTGCTTATCAACAGAAGTTCTCTACATTAACAACTATTTTCTCACTGTAACAGTTTGGTTATTTGTCTTTCTCTGCCACAAGACTGTAAGTTTTTCAAGGGAACCAGCCATATCCTAATCATCTTTGTAGGCCTGGCCTAACAGGCATTCAATACATGCTAGCTTTAAGAATGAAAGAATTATAGGCTGCAGAAGAGATAATCAACATAGAATGAGCTGTCCTGGAAGACTGTTTTGCCAGGTATGACTATGTTGAACCATAAGCTGGAAGACCATGTGACAGCAATAACAACATTTGGCTCCAAGTCAGAGGTAAAAGAATGGACTGAAGACTATTTCAGCCCCAAAGTGTGGAAAGTCTTAATCACAACAGCTAAAGACAAACTGTATAAGGGATGTACTGTCACCAGAGGTAGCCAAAGGGTAACACATACATACAAAGGCCCTAGTTTCTGACCAGTTTTATTTTTTAGAAAACAATAATTGCATTTTATTTCTCCAACTTTAGGAGGGTGAAGGAAGGTCTGATGAAGAGGGAAAGTGTGAAGTTGGGGGGGTGGGGATGAGGGCGGGTCAGCTGTCAGTTAAGCAAAGGCAGAGGGATATAAATAGTGAGATTTAAAATCAACTGGTGAGAGGTCCCTAGACGACTCCTGCTTGACCTGAAAAGTTAGTTGTTTCATCATCCTAGATTCACAGAGCAACATGCATTTCCATAGTACAAACCACACAAATAGCCAAAATGAAATGGAAAGAGAAATGAATGTTCACAGCCTCTTCCTACACAGAACTCAATTCTATCTCCTAATTACAGAGCCAGAGTTAGAAGGTGTAGAGGAAAGAGATCTACCTGCCTAGAAGGGATTATGGTCTCCTAGGGAGTTAAGAAGTCAGTACAGGATGTGATCAATGCTTTGGGAAGAGAAGCACACCGAATGCGTGAAGAATCCAGGAAGAAAGCTCGCTTTAAGCAGCGAGCATCTGGTGCAGCAAGAGAATCTGTTGAAGGCTATGGATCCATACTGCATGCGATTACAAGGGTCTAGACTCCTTGAAGTACAGTACTGAGTCTTCTTTAGGGTTTTGGATGCTCAAGAGTAAAATGCTGAGGGCTAGTGGAGCGGCTCAAGAGGTACAGTGCTTGCCTAATAAGCAGCCGTGAGTTCAAACCCCAGTATCGCCACCACCCTCATTCCCCCGCTGGCCCTCCACAAACACAAAAGAGTAAAATGCTCAGATCTAATCCAGCTCAGGAGAGGGAAGCTTCCAACTCAGGGTCACTCTAAGTCAGATCTACCCCTGTATTTTAGTACCATTTACCTTTCTCATAAGGACAATGACCCCAGAATACCACCTCAAACACAGAAACAGACTTTGGAGACCAAGGAGCAAGATTCATCACCAAAAAGGCCCTCTCATATGCAAAGAAAACCTGAGGCTTGAAGCAGTTCTCCCCAACTCCAGTATTCCCAAATCCTCATGTCTCCTTCATGAAAAAACCTTCCACTAGGATCTCCCTGGCTCCTGGACATTCAGTGGGACCCCACTGCCTAAAGAACAAATGGGTAGTCTAGCATTCAAGACTTTTTATGATATGGTTCCAACATGGTTTTTAGGAATTATTTCCCCTTCTCTAGCCAAATCAAACACTCCTCACTTTCAGTCATGCTTGTACTTGAGAATGCCTTCCCCTTCTATCCCAAACCTACCTATCTTTCAAGGTCCAGCTTCGACCTGGAGTGGTCATGTTGCATCTTGGACCTGTTCTATGTGACATCCTCCCCACTGCCACCCAGGCAGATCAGCAACAGTTCTCTTCGTATTCTCATTCTAGTCATTCCATTTGCCTCAAATGCTGTCACTTTCTGTTCACTTGAAAAAACCTCATGCATGGGACTGGGTGTGTAGCTCAGTGGTAAAGTGCTTCCCTAGCACGCGTGAGGCATTATCTCTAGCAAAGCAAAATCAAGATATAACAAGTGCACACTCTACCTCATGTATGGAAATGAAAATTGAGGATCTCTAAAAAATGTCCATTTTTCCTGGTTCCAATAAAAAACAACAACAACAAAAACATCCCCACCCCTATCACAAGAAGCCAAGTAGAATGTATATTACTAGCCAAGTAGTTTGGTACAGCTTCAGAGAACTGGTGTGCCAAGAATGCTAGAAGTAAAACTTTGGAATTCATCAAAAGCTTGCCAAGGACCCTGTTGAGAAATAGTAATCTAATTTACACAGTTTTAGGATCGACATTTGCTGTTTATGACTTACAGGTCTTGTGCCAGGCCTCAAAACTAAGAGGATAAGCCTTTTCCCCAATACCATAAGAATAAAATCCTTTCATCCTGCTCTTTTTGTAAGGTCTGTAAGGTCTATGCTGCCATTCTCTTTAGAACTCTTGGTCGTCAAAAAAAAGTACTTGGTTCCTTTGGTTTGAACGTATCTCCTAAATTTCATGTGTTGGAAAGTTAATCCCTAAAGTCCTGTGTTACTGGAATTGAGAGGTGGGATTTTGGGGAGGTGACTGGATCATGAGGGCTCTGTCTTCACAAATGGGTTACTCCACAAATAAATCAATAGATTAAAGAGTACCTTTGTTATAGAAGCTCTCTCTGGCTCCTTGTTTTGTCTTGTAGTGTGGTGTCCTTTACCATGTTATGATGCAACAAGGTCTCACCATATATTGGGCAGGTGCCAACACCATACCCTTAGACTGTCTAGCCTCCTCGTATGAATTATGCTTTATAAATGACCCAGTTCTAGGAGAAAATGAACTAAGACACTCATCAATCCCTCGCCTTGGCAATGAGAACAAGGCCCACAGAGAAGGCACTTACACTGGTTTAGAGCCTACAGAATGGCTCCAGTCCTGATGCTCTAACTACTAATCATATTAAAAGATACTTTTATTTCTACTAAAACAGGTTCATAAACAGACCTCAACTCAAGGCTGGGGGATACATTTGGGGAATGAACTCACAATAGCCTTGGTGCTTTTCTCGGTCCTGTCTTTGACGAGGTTAAAACCACAGCTGGGACAAATCCGAGGTTTGTGCCGGTTGGTATAGACATAACTACACGACGGATTCTTGCACTTTCCCCGGCCTCTTGATGTAGCCAGGCCCAAATCCTAAAAAGATAAAACCAATGTTCAATTCTACAAAAGTTAGGATAAACCTGAGCAGAATACAGAACACTGAAACCTGGTGAAGTCACCTTAAGAAGAATGGGACAGGAGGTAGAGTAATGGCAGGGTATAATACCTGGATATATGGAAATGTCATACTGGAACTCCCTATGTAACTATTATATATAAACAAGATGTTTAAAAGAAAAAAAAGACAAGAAGGTAAAACAGGTCCTGTCCAGGGGTGAGTACCAGGAGGAGGGCATAAGGAAAGGATGAAGGAAGGCAAATATGATGTATTTTGTTCTCATGTATGAAAACAGAATAATGAAAACTGCAGAAATTGTTCTAAGAAGGGGGGAAAGGGGGTGAAGCTAATTAAGATATATTGTAAGCACATAGGTAAATGTCACAATGTATTCCCCTATATAATTACTATGTGCTTTAAAAAAAAAAACAAAAAAACCCCCCAAAAACCCTGAGCGCAGCCAGGATGACCAGCTGTCAATAAATCAGAGAAGAAAGTGGTAATTACAAATCAGACTTAGCCTAACTTCTAAAGACTCTTGAAGCAAAAGATCCTTTTTCTACAGTCAACCCTTTTCAGTTTTAATACAGGCTATATAATTTGGAACATCTAGTTCTTCCTATCTGTGAAATAAGTTGACTCTCAAGGGTCCAGACAATTGACAGAATGATGCAGTCTGTACCCACAAGGAGTGCTGGAGACTGTGGTAAACTCTATCTAAAGGCAAACTGTAATTTCTGGACTACTACTGACTAAAGCCATAGCATCTAGACTCCTATAACAAGTCGTTAAACCCAAGATAAAATCCTAGCTGGGGGCATGGCTCAGATGGCAGAGCACCTGCCTACCAAGTGTGAGGCCCTGAGTTCAAACCCCATGACTGCCAAAAAAAACCCAAAAAACATCCTGGAAAATTCCCACTAAATGGTATAATTAGTGGCCTCCTATAGCCACAGGAGTAACGATAGGGTGAGCAAGGAGGAGGTAAGAGTTAGGTCACTGGAAAAAGAAACCTGAGCAGATCTTTCTAAGACTCATTCTCAGAAAACTTAAAATAAAAAAATAAAAAATAGGGCTGGTTCACTACTGAATCCCCAGCATAAAGCCTGGCACAGAAACAGATGCTAAATAAAAATTTTCTTTTCTTCCTCTCTCCCTCCCCTTCTTTTCTTTTTCTTCCTTTCTTTTCCCTTCCTTCCTTTCTTTCCTCCCTTTCTCTTTCTTTGGGAAGGGAGAGAGTTAGTGGTGGGGGTCTCACTATGTTGCCAAGGCTGGCCTTGAACTCCTGTGCTCAAGACTCTAGCCTCAGCCTCGGGCAGAGCTGAGAATATAGTTGTATACCACCACACCCCGCTACAAAGAACTTTTTGAATGAATGAAACATCCTTTCAAAGCCTTCCTGTCATTATTAACTAAGAATACTTTTTAAAAAATCTAGTAGCTCTTGCAAAAATCTGTTCATTTTATTCTAATCAGCCAGAGAAACTGCCAAAAGGTATTTGGTTTTTACCTTAAAGATAACAGAACTAGAGAATGTCAAAAGTGACAAAAGCCTCAAAGGTACCTAACTAAACACAGCATTCTATAGACAGTGAAACTGAGGACCAGAGAAGGACAGAGTCTTGTCTAGGATTATATGGCATGCTAGCAACAAAGGTAGAACTATTTTTGAACTAGGTCTTCCAACTATTTAGTGTTTATTCTACTGTGCCATGCTGTTTACCTTGCAGAAGAATAACCAGAAGTCACACATTTTCATTTATTGGAATGCTAGTGTGTGTTAGGTTAAAAATAAAAGGGAAAGGGAGAGGGAAAACCCTTGTGGGAAATGCTAGGCTAAATATGAGTTGCTTTACTAGAGGACTTGTCAAACCCTTTAAGATAATCTTTTTGGATGTGTCTGTTTTAGGTAGGAAAAAAAATGCACTGTTTAAACTTACTTTGGTGAATGCACTTTTCTTAGGCTAAGAAGTTTCAAAAGCTAATTCTGGACTAGATTCTCATTTCTGACTACTCTCAATAAAAATATCCTGATCTCAACTGGCCTGTGCTTTTAGCTACCTGGAGAACCCCCAAAATAACCTAGGCAGATTCACCCAGCATCTATCAATTATATGGGTAATGGAAACTTCAGAATTTATATCTGACCCTGCCTTACTCTCAAGCTACCATCACCTTCTCTCCCAGCCTCCCATGCCACCCTCAACCACAAAATCAAAACAACTTTCATGTTAACTTACCACTGGGCTGCACACTTACCAGTGTGACAGTACAGCTGTATTTATATGGAGGAAACATATCAGGTTTGACTTCTACAACTTTCACCTGAGACGTCCTGTTGTTTGGGCCACTTGATAGCTGTGGATCAGAACAAGTTATTTAGTGCTATTTTTGTACCTCATCTAAACTCTTGAGGTCCTGTGTCCTGAACCACCTTGAGTAAATAGTTTCCTAGGAGGAATATGTCAAGCAAATGAGCCCTCTGGACTGCTAGTTGGTACTCACTAGCACATGAAGGGCTAAGTGAGTGTCATGTTCAAGTCCAGGGTATGACACACTTCTCTGTGTAGCTTCAAACACTATGTATCAGAAGCACCATGAGTCAGGTTTATAACTGATTGATAAAAGCATATAACACCTATATGCCCAAGTATACAGCTGGATAATGTTAGCATAGAAGGAAGTCTGAAAGACCATCCACCAAACTATGACATGGCTGTTTTTTCCCCTTTACTACTATCTATAAAAATTTAACTGTTCTGTGAGAAATGTATATATTACTTATATAATTAAAATAGGAGGAAAAGAGAAAGCATTCTAAATTAAAATTATTCTATAATGGGGGGAGGAAGGATAAAGGAGAGTGGTGGAGGGGGTGAATTCATGTATGATATATTGTAAGAACTTCTGTAAATGCCACAATAAAAAAAATTTTTCTGAAAGCAGGTGGGATGAAATGCCAAGTAAATAAAATAATGCAACTTAAAAAATTAAAATTATTCTGTAAGAGTGAATTTAAACTGATTCTCAGAATATAAGATTTCATGTACCTGTTCACTAGTTTAAGACTAACAAGAGGATGGGATGGAGATATGGTTTAGTGGTAGAGTGCTTGCCTAGAAGGCACCGGGCCCTGGGTTCAATCCCTAGCACCACAAAACAAACAAACCTATCTCTTTGTTTCAAAGGACACCTTAAGACACCTTAAGACAAGTCCAAGAGTACAAACACACTCAAGTAACACAAAGAAAGGAGGTGCTGCTGGGCGCCAGTGGCTCATGCCTATAATCCTGGCTCCTTGGGGTGCTAATATCAGGAGAATTGAAGTACAAGACCAGCCCAGGAAAACAGTTCATGAAACCTTCATCTCTAAAATAACCAGAGCAAAATGGATTGGAGGTATGGGTGAAGCAGTAGAGTGCCTGTTTTTCAAGTGCAAAGCTCTCAGTTCCATAAAAACAAACAAACAGAAACAAACAAACAAAAAAAATAAAGGAAAAAGGGAGCCCAGACAAAAAGTTCATGAGATCTCATCTTAACTAGGGAGATGGCAGGCCAATTCTCCCATTTTAAGCTAGTTTGTGAGTTTCCAAAGTGCAGGCCACAATCCACTGAGGGATCATAAAATTAGTTTAACAAATGAAACTGACAAATAGGAGTGGGAAATATCACAGTATACCTAGAACAGCAAAGCTTCATTCATTATTAATGTGTACATTTACTGGGCAATATCGTAAAAATGTGTGTTAATGAGATGAGGGTCATGGTAAAGTTTGAAAAATGTTGGCTTAGGGAATTTTGATAATAACTATCTGGCTGAATATAGATTTTTAAAGAAAGCCAGGTATGGTGGCACACACCCATAATTCCAGCACTGGGGAGGCTAAGGCAAGAGGACTATTGAGTTTGAGGCTAGTCTGGGCTACAGAGCAAGACCCTATCACAAACAAAACTGTTAAAAAAAAAATTTAAGAATATGCCGAAATATATGAAATTTTAACACCTGTGACATCTTCAGTATCTATTATCACTAAAGTGAATCAAAGGCCATAAACCAGTACATGGAGAAGAAGCCATGTTTTTGGTTTATAAGAGCTATACTAAAAAATATGTACAATCGTAAAAGTCTCTGGTTTTTTTAGCTGCTACATATGACCTTTATTTCTTTATTCTAAAGCACATGTTTTCATTCACATTTTAGTCTCTAAAATTGGCTTGCATTTTACAGTTGCTGTCAGCTGGCAGCACTAGTGATGTCATTGCATTGCCTGCTGAATATGCATCAAAACTTGCAGAAGGGAAGTTAGCAGCATAGAATATTGATGATTCTAAGTCTAAACATCATTCAGAAAAGTCTGACTTTGAGAAGAATATTTAGATATGCCACAATCAAGTTATTTCATGAGTACTTTCCTTTTAATACACACAAAGAATGATATGGAATTCAAGCTCTATGTCTTAAGTTTCAATTATATTTTTCAAAAAGTATAAAAATTACAATTTTTCTTTTTTTAAAAAAAGCACAAATTCAAGAAAAGATTTAAAAGCTAATAGACCACAGCATATCAGATGGTCAAAACTTGGTTAGTTCTAGGTGGCAGGTCATGAGGGATTTTCTTTTTTCTTTACTTAAATTTTCTATATGCATGCCTTTTTTAGAGACTAAACAGACATGACAACTAAATGCAGTATTTGATCCTACAGTGGATCCTCTATGAGAGGGGGAGAAATGCTATATAAAAGATGTAACTGGCTGCATGCCGGTGCCTCACACCTGTAATCTTAGCTACTCAGGAGGATCGAGGTTTGAAGCCAGCCCCAGGGAAGTAGTTCTGGAGACCCTATCTCAAAAGAAAACCATCACAGAAGAGGGCTGGTGGAGTGGCTATAGTGGTAGAGCATCTGCCTAGCAAATGTGAGACCCTGAGTTCAAACCCCAGTGCCACAAAAAAAAAAAAGGGCTGTAACTGGCAAAAACTGGTATTTTGGTAAACTGGAATATATATACATTAAAATACTGCACTAAGATGTCAGTAAAAGAATATCTCTATTCTTAGGAAATATAGAAAGATGCATTAAGAAGTAAAGGCTGTGTGACTCACCCTTTACTTATATATATTTTATGCACACATGTACATGTTTATACATGGGGTAGGTATTTATTAAACACAAATGATAATGCAAAATGGGCTAATATGTTACCAGGTGACTCTGGGTAGAGTTTATGGGTGCTCTTTGCAGTGTTTTTACTTTTTAACATTTTTTTCTGGTAAATTACAGACTTTAAAATAAAGGGCTTAAAAATTTTAAAGTAAATGCATTCATTTTACACATTACCTAAAAAATAAATCACTCATGTCAACCTCTTTGCAGAGTCTATCAGTCTAAGAATTGGGGTCTGTCTTCTACCTGTGGCTTTAGTCCATTAAATACAAGTGACCAGATTCCTAAACAGCCCCTCCTCTTGGGAGCAGGTCTTACCTTCAGCTCACCAGTGCCAGATGGATGTTGGATAGGCTGGCCTAGCTGCTTTAGTGTGCTTGGCTTCAGGCCACAGGTCCTCACAGAGGGAGTCTTATCTGTAAGAACCAAGAGCCAAACTGGTGACTTAAGTGTATGAGTTTTCCAAAGTCTCTCCTCTCCATTCTCCACCCTGACTCCCGCCCCTTACCCATCAGACAGCCCCTCCAGCCCTTACCACTCAAGGGGAAGGCCTGCCTGGCCCTGGGCAGTCCCATGCTGCTGCCTCGACCCACATTAGCGGGGGCTGGCAAAATTGCTCTCATGGGTCTTGCTGCAGCCAGCAATGAGGGCTTGGCCCGTGCTCTGCCTTTAAGCTCAGGGGCTCTGGGCCCTGTGGTGAGCAGATCAACTCTGAAAAAAAAACACGAAGAAATCTGGAAATTCTAGACCAAAAAAAAAAAAAAAAAAAAAAAACCAAAGTGCAGTTTCCAAACAGCATTTTATTAGAGGATAGTACAATGGTTAAACTATCAGGCTTTAGACAGACTGAGTTCAAATTCAACCCCTATGTGACTCTGGGCAAGTAATTTCACTCCTCTGATAATCTAAGGCTTCTAATATGGAAATGGGGAAATAATTAGCTACACTTTATGGGGTCCAAAGTATAAAACAATGTATATAGTACAACCATAATAACTATACCATCACTTGTCTCTAATTAGAGTGATTATGCTTCTAATCAGAAGTGATTAGAAGTGATTAAAGTATTATCAGGTTCCCACATAAAGGCACCTTAGAAACCTTGGAGAGCAAAGTTCATGTTTTCCTCATCTTTACAGTGCCAATGTTGAACACAAAGTCTGCACCATGGAAGCCTCAATGAATATTGTTAATGTGGTTCACCTGTCTCACTTCACTTCATTCTTTAAGGGTACTAAGCCACTTCTAAAAAATAAATAAATAAATAAATAAAAGCAAAATTTAGAAGTACCTATGTTTTGCCACCATTTCTGTAAAGCAAGCAGGAAAACACACACACATACATGTTTGTATATGCTTAAAACCATCTCTGGAACCAGAAAGTTTGGGATATGGACTGATTCTAAGAGATGGATGATTAAATAACAGACCAAAAGGAAGATTTTTAAAAATATATACTCCTTGTAACTTTTTTTTTTTTAACTGGTGGGACCGGGGTTTGACTCAGGGCTTCATGCTTGCAAAGCAGGCACTCTACCACTTAAGCCATACCTCTTGTCCATTTTGCTATGGTTATTTTGTAGAAAGGTCTTGAGAAATATATGCTTTGAACCATGATCTTCCTAATCTCAGCCTCCCTACTAGTTAGGATTACAGGTGTGAACCACTGGCTCCCCAGCTTTCTTGTAACTTTTGAGTCTGAATCACGTGAGTATTTCCAATTCAACAATAAAAATATAAAATTAATAGTGTAAGGCAAACTTGATACTATAAACATTTTGGCAAGATAATTCTTTGTTATGGGAGGCTATCCTGTACTGCAGGATGTTTAATGCCCCTTTCGTCCCTCTAGATGCCAGCAGCAAGCCTTTTCCAGTTTTGACAACAAAAAAGCCCTCTAAAACACTGCCAAAATGTCCCCTGGGGGCAAATCTGTTCCTAGTTGAGACGAACTGAGATGAACAAGAGGCCTTCAGTTATAAGAACACAACAGCCTCCAAGAAGAGCTACATGTAGAATCCATTTAAGTTTTTAATTAAAAAAGAATAAGGACTGGGCACTGGTGGCTCACACTTATAATCCTAGCTACTTGAGAGGCTGAGATAGGGAGGATGATGATTTGAGACCAGCCCAGGCAAATTAGTTCATGAGACCCCTATCTCTAAAATAACCATAGAAAGATAAAATAACCATAATAGACTGAAGTATGGGTCAAGCAGTAGAGTGCCTGCTTTGCAAGTACAGAGCCCTTAGTTCCACCAAAAAAAAAAAAAAAAAGAAAAAAAAGAAAGGGAACAGGAAAAGAGAGCTGAAACAAAAAGTTCATGAGACCTCATCTCAATGGATCAGTGGCTGGGTGCAGTGGTACATGCCTGTCATGCCAGCAATGCTGGGAAGCACAAATAGCAGGATTACCGTCCAAGCCAGCCCAGACATTTTTAAGATCCTATCTCCAAAATAATCAAAAGTGAAAAGGGCTGGTCTGGGGGCATGGCTCAAGAGGTAAAGCTCCTGCCTAGCAAGTGTGAGACCCTGAGTTCAACCACCAAGAACTGCCAAAACAACAACAACAAAAAAGGTAATCCACATTTATTGACTTCATATTTGCAAGGTGCTAGGCTGCATGCTTCACACTTGCAAAGCAGGTGCTCAACCACTTGAGCCACACTTCCAGTCCATTTCACTCTGGTTATTTTGGAGGTGGGGGTAAAGGAACTATTTGCCCTGGCTGTCCTCAAACCTTCCCAATCTCAACCTCCCAAGTAGCTAGGATTATAGGCATACTCAGCTCATCCCAAGGTTTCTCAGAAGCATGAAACTATGCCCAGGGTCAAACAGAAGCCAGAGTCAGTCACAACTACCACTGGGTTCTCTGACTATCAAACAAGTACTCTTTTAATAGGGTACTTTTATAAGGCTTCTCATTCCAAATTGGTAAATCATAGTTTTTAATACTGCCCACACCTGTACCAGCAACTGCTTTAGGGAGACTGACAAGAAAAGATGTACCAGGAATTGTCAGCAGTATATGGACGGCAGAGTGGAGGGGGAAAGGCAAATCATTACATCTCTCTAGGTCTTGACTTCTGTATTGCTAAAGAGGAAACATTAATTGTGCTCTGCAGCCTCTCTCAGGAATGCTATAAGGATTTTGGACAAAGCAAACAAGGGCAATGGTTTATTGCTTTTCAAAATATAGTCCCAATAATATAATATATAATTAGATTGACCTACCCTGTGGGTTTTTTAGGAGCAGGGAGTGGACTGGTGATGCTGGTCCCCTCGGCTGGTGTTGGTATATCTGGTCGAGGACTGTCATTCTCAGTTGTCCCCAGAGTGACCTCAGGCTGCCCGCTAGTCTTGGCAACTGGTGCTGTACCACGATTCCCAGGAGTGTCCTTGACCAAAACATGAGCATCGGAGACAATCACTTCCTCCCACTCATTCTCCTCACCTACTTCTCTTGGAGGAGTTACATTTAAGAGCTGGCTTACGGCTTCCGAGTTTTCCAGAGACAATTTGGAGGCATTTTCCTTAGAGGAATTTTGCTCAGTGGTGATAGGCTGCTGATTTCTTTTAACCACGGAACCTTTGGAGGAGACACTTGAAGCCAATTCCACCTTGACTTTGGCTGGCTTTTCCTACAAAAAGAAAAAAAAAGGAAAAAAGAATACCTCATGTGCATAAGACATTTTACAGTTGACAACACCATTTACAAATTTTCATAACATCAGGAGACTAAGTCTCACAGAGAAGAGGCTAACTTAAGGTGCCAAGTACAAAACTGTCCCTGCTGGTGGAGTGGCTCAAGTGGTAGAATGCTTGCTTAACCAAGTGTGAGGCCCTGAGTTCAAACCCCAGTACCACCAAAAAAAACTACTAAATCTAAGTCTTCTGACTCCAAGGTCCTTTCACTACAGTATTGAAAGCCTCAAGATAGTATAAAGCTACTCTCTGCCTATGAAATTTCTTATCAGCATGATTCTTTTTCAGGAAATAAATGCTGGCACTTTGGAGGTTGACTTTTGATTGTTCTAAGCCCACTTCTTTATACCATGATGGAAGCTGTCATGCTGCCACATTGGGACTAAAAGTACTAAATGGTTTATATTGGTGGTGCTATTATGAGATTCAGTTAATCTCAATGTGGTCACAATTAACACTGTGTTTCCACTCCCCGGGTAAAACCCTATCTTTAGTCCCATATTCTTTCAGGTGAATCAGTAGAATGACTTACCCATATGACACATACTTAACACACTAGGTCAAATGAACTCATGCATGTTAATTATGTGTTAGAAAATATTCAAAACCAGTAAAAACTGCAGCTGCTATCTCAGATCTACTTTTAAAGCCCTTGGTGCCTTAGTTTTTATTCAAGCAGCATGGCTGGGGAAACAACATTTATAAATACATACACACACACACTTACACAAATACATACATGCAAACTTCTTAAAAAAAGTCTCTTAAATACTATAAACTAGGAGATGTTGTAAACCTAAAACCTAGGTTCTATCTATGCTCAAGTCCACTCCTAATTGTGTGATCCAGAGTAAGTTTCATCTGAATCCTCATTTCCCTATTGTTAAGTAACAAAGGGTTGGTCTCTCAGTGTTTGTCAACAGGATTAAGACAGCATTTCAGGTGGCCCAATTCTTCACTGTGTAGGACCTTCCTGCATGCTTCAGGAAGGTTAACATCGGCAGCTAATGTCATTAAAACTCAATATTATGTCTCAAAAACCCCTAAAATTTCCAAAGCTGGGTAGTGTACTTTTCCTGGTCAAGGACCAATGACAAATGACTTATAAGAGCTTGCTAGTAAAGCATTCTCTATTTCTAACAAACAATAGCCCCAGAAGATGAGTAAACATGGAAAAAAAATTCCAAAATGAGTGCACAGAGCTTATTTTGTACAGGACAGGAAAAGTCAGCAGAAAAACAACAGGCTAAATTCATCTCTTGAGATCTGACCTTTGAACAAAATACTGCTTCTTTAGACAAAAATCATTTGCAGAAAAGATAATGAAAGCACTCTGAAATGAAAAAGAAAAAAAACTCTACCTGGAGATCTTATTTTGCCTTAACCTACCTTTTATAGATGTTGCTTTCTTCTAAAATGTAAAGTAAACACAACCAGCTGCTCAGATCAACCTCAATTATCATCATCAGAGCCAATAAGAATGACGCCTTGAGCTAAACAGCCTCACATACTATTCTTTGTCCCATCCAAATCATTGTGAACTAGCTCACACATTTCTTGGGATAATTTTGGTCATTCTGAACTCTAGGACAATACAAAAAAAAAATGAGTAATTTTCTGACTGGCATGGACACAGGGAGCTTTTAAAAATGATTTATACCTGCTTCCTCAAAAACTAGAACTCAAGAAATCTTAGATTCTGCAGCTAAATAGCATAGCAATGCCCAAAAAGTGTAGTTTAGAGGAAAAGGCACTGGCCAAAGTTCACAGCTGTATGAACTTAGCAAGTCACTTCTTGCAAATCTATTTTAACTCAGCTAGAAACTTAGAATTGAGCTAGCTAAGAACCAAAGCCACACTTATCTCTAAAGTTCTACAGTGCATTGATGCTAAAATGTTACCTTCTTACTTTTCACACTCATTCATCTAATGCTGGAGGAAAAAAAATTGACATAGAAAGACGGGACAAGTAGCTAAGAAAAACATTGTTCATTTGCCCTAAGTTTGATCTTAGTAATAGTAAGAGAACTGTGGTTCAAAAGTTTCTCTAACCAAAAGAAATATACACACATATACATGAGAAATGCAAAAATAAAAACAAAGCCCCAGGGGAGAGAAAAGTCTACCACCATCACTTAACACTCTTCCATACACAAGCACAAGAAATAAGTCATTTCACAGACCTGCTTTGCACTGGTGAAGAGGGACCAAGGAGGTTCCAACTCAATAATCCTATAATAGGTGGCAAAGTATACTTTTGGGGACTAGAGTAGGTATAAACTGATGGCTTCACAGAGGTGCACCAGAGAAAATGGGCCCAAGAAACTTGACAAAACCGCCGGAGATACTAGCACTAGGCCCTTCCTGACCCTCGAAGTGATATGAGTAGCAATAATAGACATATATTAATCTCAGTCATGATGATAGCAGGAAATATTTACTAAGGATTTAACATATATGAGGAACTGTGCCACCCACTCTACACAGATAATCTCATTTGACCCCTCCAACGACCCTAATGAGGTAGAGACTACTAACTTCCATTTAGAGATGAGACAAAAGGAAACCTAAATCAAGGAACAGAGACATGAAATGACTTGTTACATAGCTAAAAAACCTGGGAAATGAGCTTGAACTAAAGAAGCTAACTCCAGAATTGTATTAATTATTGCTGCTAGAATCTTAGGCATCTCCCAAAGGTCCATTTGGTAAAGGCTTACTCACCAGAGTGGTGCTATTGGGAGGTGATGGAACCTTTGTAAGTTGGAGTCTAGTGGGAGGACTTAAGTCACTGGGGGCACACTCTTGTTGAGGAGTGTGGAACCCCAGTCTCTTCATTTCTCACTTCCTGGCTATAAGGTGAATAGTTTTGTGTTGCCACCATGATGTATTTCCTTGCCACAGGTCCCAAAACAATAAGACCATGGACTGAAACCTTTAAAACTGTTATCCAAAACAAACTTTTTCTCTTTAAGAGAAAAAGTGGGCCATGCTGAATTAAACTTACAATCACAATCCTAGTCTAAGTCAAGTCTAATGCTCTCTCTTTCCTTTTATATCTTCGCAAATGCCATTGATCCTTCAGATCATCTCTTCTACAACAATCCTCCCTGTCTATACTAGTCCTTAATAAGTGTCTCTTCTCTATGAACTAACTGAAAAGTGACCATCTAGTCCATTTGTTTTGGTCCTAAAAATTTGTAGTCTCACATAAAAAAAACATGGCAAGTATATGTGTTTATCTAGTCAGTGCCAACCAAGTGTGTAACAAGTTAGCAAAACATGCTGAACTGAACTTCGCAGGGGCAAAACTGTGATACTGGCCAGGTGCAAGTGGCTCGTACCTGTAATCCAAGCTACTTGGAAGGGTGAGATCAGGGGCACAGAGGCCTGTCCAGGCCAAAAGTTCGAGAGACCCCATGTCCGTCAATAGCTGGGCACAGTTGTGCATGCCTACCACGTTGGCTACATGGGAGGCTGAGATCGAAAGGATCACATTTCTAGACCAAACCAAGCAAAAAAGTTTGGGAGACCCCATTTCAACAGAAAACAGCTGGGCATGGTGGTGTGTGAATGTCATCTGAATGATGGCAAGAAGCCTAAAATGGAAGGAGGGCAGTCTAGGCCAGCCTGGGCAAAAAGTGAGACCACATCTTCAAAATAATCAGAGCAAATAATGTACTGCAGGTGTGGCTCAATGGTAGGGTGCTTGCTAAGCAAGTGAGAAGCCCTGAGTTCAAACCCCAATATAGCCAAAAAACAAAGACTAAACTGTGAGGCTCATTTGTTTATTGTACATCCTTGATGGGTAAAAGTTGTGGAGGATGCAAAGGTCATACTGTTACACTGTGACATAAACAGAAACACTTTTTAATGGTGATGGCTACTAAATTATAGCGTTGAAGGCACATATAAAGAGACAGGCATTCATTCTTCCCTAAGGAAACCTAGGGATGTTTCATGGAAGAACTAACATTTATGAATCATGACTCATTGTTATTCATGAATTTTAGACAAAGAATACCCAACTAGTTTGCCTACAGAAAAGATAGTAGGAAGAAGGGAGGGAGGAGGGGAGAACAGTACATCATAAAGATTGAGTAACGCTATGGAAAACTTTGAATATGAAGTTAAGGACTTCCTTTTTTTGTTTCTTTTGTGGTACTAGAGTTTGAACTCAATGCTTTGCATTCACTAGGCAGGCACTCTCCCACTTGAGCCACACCTGAAGCCAAGGACTTCCATTTTTAATAGGAGTTATAGGAGAAAAAAAGGATTTTGAACTAAGGAGTGAAAAAATGTAGCTATATCCTGGAATAGTAACTAAGCAATCAGCATGGAGGGTGGATTGTGAGCCCTAACAGGAAATGAATCAGTTAACATGGTTATCCTCATTCCTGGGAAATTATGAAACAATTTAAGATAATGTTTTCAAAGAACATTTAATGGCATGGCAAGTTAAATGAAAAAAGAAAGATACAGAACTTATTTTATTCACAGAAAAAAATCAAGAAGATATATAAAAATATTAATAAAGGCTCTTCTTTGGATGGTATAAGATTATAGATTGCATTTTATTCTATTTTTCTTTTCTTGAAACAAACTGCTTACAAAAAAAACCAATTTACTTGCATAATCAAAATTAAAATGACTATTAGCTTTTAAAAGACCATCTGTTCCTAAGGACAACAGGAAGCCTACTCTGTCAGGCTTCCGAAACAGTAATGGCCAATAGACCTTACCTTTGGGATCCACTTCCCTCCTAGGAAGTTACCACAGGTAGGGCACTTAGGTGGTTTGTGCCTAGTGACATATGTGAAGGAGCAACCTGGGCTGGTGCATGTCCCATGGCCCCGACGGGTGTATGTAGTGGTCTGTAAAAAAAAAAAACCAGTGTCAGAATCAAGACGACAATTCAATCCTGAGGCCCTGCTGACTTTGATAACCACTGTATCAGGAAGAGAACAGCTTTTAGCAGGATAATCATTCATGATATCATAAAAAGTCAGGGTGGGATAGGTCCTAAGGTACAAGTTTACTTTTTAGAAATTAAACTGAATTCAAATGGGGAAAGACAGCTGCCCAAAGGTTACCCAGTAAGTTAGCAGAAGAATGAAGATAGTGATGGCTAGTACGAATTAAGCAAAGCACCACAGAGTGTTAAATACTTTACCAACATCTCATTTAATATTCTCAGCAATGCTATTAAGTAGGTTATTGTTACTACTGAGGCCCAGAGTGGTTGACTGTTTTGCCTCAAAACATACACTGAAGATCACCCTGATTCTTGGTCCAAGATTTCTTCTGTGTACCTAGCTATTCCCCCTGGATCTGAATACTTCAAAAAATCTGATTAGTCTTCATTCTTGTCAGTTAAAAATCAGAGACTCTAGGACCTAGGATTTAGGGATAAAAAAACAAAGCCATGATCAATGGGGGAAAAAAGGAGGAAAATCCAAGAACAGAAACCAAGTCGATGGATATTTAACAAATCTCCCCTTGTACAAAATGTATTATAACATATCACTGTATTTCAGCTAAAAGTAGAAACTACTCATTCATTAGTCACATTTAATTCTAGATTAATGCAGGAAGGGTAACATTTCCCTGTCAGATTTGTTCTGTCACTTACCAATGTTTACTGAGCTACTAATCCCAGTTTTCCTAGCCTGGCCAAAACTCAAAAACCTCTCTTGGGGAAACTCTAAACTGCCACTAGCTACCTCTGCCAGGAGGCCTAAGGAAAAGCTGATTATCATAGCAGTACTAGGTCAAGGATGAGTGAGTGTGAAGTGGTATGATACCAAGGAAAGAGACCAGGCTTCGAGCTCCATTTGCTGCCAACACACTGAATGATCTTAGAGTAAGTCACCTTAAATCTTGGGTTCTGGGTTCCCGCTGTAAAATCATCTGCTCTTCCTATTTCATAGGTGTGTTTTGAGGTGCAAATGCAGTAAAGAATGAGGACATATTCACTTAGTAAATTGTAAAAGATTCTATAGATGTGTGGGAGATTATTATTTCTAGGATATAAAGTATTTCTGATGTTTACTCAATTCATGGCTTAATACAGAAACTTCATACTGAATACCTCCCAAAAGCAAAATAAAAATTGAAGATGAATTAGTTATATAAATAAATTACCATGAACTTAGAAATACCCTAAATAGTAACCTATAGAAAGACTTTTTTTTCTAGAAGAGTTTAACACTTTTTAGAGAACTACAGAACAATCATTTCCAGGAGCACAAGAGCTCAGGAGAAACAAGCAGTTTTTTCATGAACCAATTTGTAATGGCAGTTCCTATTTCAAAATACTAACTTTCTTATCCAAGAATATACTGTTTAGCTAGGCACAGTGGTGTGTGCCTACAGTGGCAACTATCAGGAAGCCGGGCAGGAGGATCACTTGAGCCCAGGTGAGACTAGTCTGGGAAACACAGAATGGCCCCCATCTCATACCAACAACAGCAACAAAAATGTTTAAATACATTGTTTATCTGTAACAGGGGTTTTTGAAGATAAAACAGATTATAATAAGTTAAAGACATATATTAATCCTAAAGAGACTAATAAAATATGCTTGGATGTAGTTCAAGTGGTAGAGCAGGGCCTAGCAAGCACAAGGCCCTGGGTTCAAACCCCAATACTAATAAAACAACAACAAAAAAAACTAGTAAAATAACCAGAACAAAGTTAACAGCTAATAAGTCATTAGAAATAGAAGAAAGTTGCCAGGTGCATGTAATCCTAGCTACTCAGAAGGCAGAGATGAGGAGGATCTCTGTTCAAAGCCAGCCCAAGTAAACAGTCAACAAGAACCTATCTTGAAAAAAACCCATCACAAAAAAAAAGGGCTGGTGGAATGGCTCAAGGTGTAGGCTCTGAGTTCAAACCCCAGTACTGGAAAAAAAAAAAAAAAAACGGATTCATAAAATACACAAATAGTAAGATAACAGATCTAAACCTAACATATTAAATACAAATGCTTTAAACTTTCCAATTAAAAGACAGTCACAATTGGAAGCTCTTTTTGTTCCCACCCCTCAATACACTATTAACCATATTGTTTAAACAAATGGTATCACCATCTTTTGAAGTTGTATTATGTCTGGTTATTTTTATCTAGGAAAAATCAGTATTTATCAGAAAAGACTGGCACTTAGCATTTGAAGAAACTTGGTGTCCACATGTCACTAATCATTACAGTATGTTCTGTACTGAAGCTAGGTCTTGCTTTTTTGTATCCAAACTGCTAAAAATCAAAACAAAACAGAACAAAAAAACCACATTTTAAATACAAAGATATGTAAACTGATTAAAAGCAAAAGGATGGAAAAAAATATACCTTGCTAATAACATTTAAAAAAAAAAAAAAAGCTGGATATCAGACATAATAGATTTCAGAGCAAAGAATATTCCTGAAGATAAAAGATCATTTTATGCCCACAAGCTGGGCATGGTGGCATACACCTGTGATCCCAGTTACCAGGGAGGCCATAGGTAGGAGGTTAACAGTCTGAGGCCTCCCCAGGCAATAACCTGAGAGCCCACCTCTCAATACACTTTTTTGCTAAAAGCAAAAGGGTTCATTCGAGTGATAGAGCGCCTGCCTAGCAAGTGCCAAGCCCCGAACTAAACTTCAGTGCTGCCAAAAACTTTTTTTAAATAAAGTAATACAACAGAATACACGACCTAAAATCTAACAAAACTCTAAGAAGTAAATCTACAATATTTAGATGCCTTCTCTCAATAACAGATAGAATAAACAAAAAAATCAGTAAGGATATAACAGATCTGAACAGTATTATCAATCAACCTGACCTAACACTCAACAGCAGAATACACATTCACTTCAAATGCACAGAATATCAAGACAGATCATATTTTGAGCCATAAAACATGTATTCATAAACTTTAAAGAATTCAGGTTTTATGAACCATAAAGTTCTGACCACAATGAAAATTAAATTTTAAGTCAACAGAAAGACATTTGGAAAATAAATAACACACTTCTATGTAACTCAAGGATCAAAGAAGCAAACTGTAAAGTTTTGAGCAGAATGAAATGAAAACATACCACATCAGAATTTGTGGGATGCACTAAAAGCAGTACTTTTTTTTTTTTTTGGTGGGACTGAGGTTTGAATTCAGGTCTGCACACTTGCAAAGTGCTCTAACCGCTTGAGTTACAACTCCAGTCCATTTTTGCTCTGGTTATTTTGGAGATGGAGTCTTGAACTATTTGCCTGGGCTGGCCTCGAACCACAATCCTTCTGCTTTCAGCCTCCCAAAGTAACCAGGATTACAGGCATGACCCACCAGTGCCCAGATACAGCAGAACTTAAGACAGGAAAATTTATAGCACCAAGCACCTGTACTAGAAAAGAAAGAGCTCAATGACATCAGCCTCTACCTTAAGAAATTAGAAAAAGTAGAGCAAATAATCAGTGAAATAGAAAACAATTATTAAAGAAAAATCAGTAAGATCGCAAGATGGTTCTTTGAGATCAATAAAATTGATAAAACCTCTAGTCAGGTTTATTAGGAAAAAAAAGACCCAATTTCTAGTAACAGTGAATCACTATACATTCAAAACATAGTAAAAAAAAACAGTAATAATAAAAGTTCCTGGAAAATATAAACAAATTAAAGAATCACAATGTGATGTGTCAGTTCCACTCACAGCTATATGCCTAAAGGAACAGCATGCAGAGGTTGAATATGGCTCTTAGGAGAGGTACTTACACTTGAAAGCAAATCTATTTCAGTATTTATATATATCTGGACATCATAATAGTTATTTAAACTTCTAAGCACCCTGTATTTATAAACAAAAAACTGTAATAAGCTCAATTTTAACACATTTTAGAAATCATAATTTGTATCTATTTCTTAGAAAATATAGTTTTATTTTTTATTATTAAGATCTATTTTATTATTTATTAATTGTGTCAATGGCTTTGTTTTTTTATTCAGCACTGGTGTTTGAACTTAGGGCCTCATGAACTAGGCAGGCACTCTTACTGCTTGAACCACTTCATCAGCTATTGGCTTTCTTTCTTAAAAAATGTTATCAATTCCCACTCCCCCCGTTTGGTGGGACTGGGGTTTGAACATATGTAGATGCCGTTTCAAAAGTGTATGCTTGCTGGGTGCTGGTGGCTCATGGATGTAATCCTAGCTACTGAGGAGGCAAAGATTAGGAGGATCAGGGTTTGAAGCCAGCATGGGCAAATAATTCATAAGACCCTATCTCCAAAAAACCCTTCACAAAAAAAGGACTGGTGGAGTGGCACAAAATGTAGGCCCTGAGTTCAAGCACCAGTACCACAAAAAAAAGTATATGCTGTGTCTTTTCAAAATCCAAATAACAGTGTAATACTTAATATTATACATTCCCTCTTAATGTATATTTTGGTAAAATTTATTAGGAAGAAATTACAGGTGAGTGGTGATGACCTTAGAAAGAAAGCTGTTCGCTCAGGAAAGAGAAGTAATGGTGATATAAATGAAACTACTGTTTATATCTATACCAAACTTAAGAAAAATAAATGTAAAAGTAAGACTTTGTGGTAACAATGAACATATGAAAAATGATACATTCCTTGAACAACAAAAACAAACAAACAAAAAAACCTGAATGTAGGGACTCAAACTAATACTTGCACACCAAAATTTATAGCAAAATTATTTACAAGAGCCAAAAGGTAGAAAAAACCCAAATGTCCATCAACAGGTAAGATGATAAATTGTGGTACATACATATAATAGAATACTATCCACGCATAAAAGCAAAATTCTGATACATGTGACAAGGTGGATGGACCTTAAAGACATTGTACTAAGTGAAAAACCCACACATGAAAGTACAGTATTTGTAAGATTCCATGTGTATGAGGTACCTTAAATAATGTAAATTCACAGGCAGAAGGTAGAATAGAGATAACCAGGGGGGAGGGTTGGGGATGGATGGGAAATTACTATTTATTTAATGGGCATAGTTTGTTTGGTACAATAAAAACATCCTGTAAATGTATACTGGTTTTGTTTTTTGTCTTATTTTGTTTTTTGGTGGTACTGAGGTTTGAACTCAGCTTAGCAGTTGCTAGGCAGGCATTCCATCAGTGAGTCAAACCTCCAGCCCTAGAAATGTATATTGGTAAAGACTGCACAGTATTTTGAATGTACTTAATGCAACTAAATTGTACATTTAAAAATGGTAAAAATGATAAATCTTGTCATTTATTAATATATATAAGTATATTACATGATATATAATATATAATTATATAGTATGTAATATAAATATTACATATTGTATTTATATATATTAATGTGTTTTTTTACCACAATTTTTTAAGAGCAACAAGGGAATGTTATGAACTTAATGTCAATAAAACTGACAAATTCCCAGAATGATAAAATAGCAAAAATGCCCTCAAAAACAGGTCATCTAAATAGTCCTATATAAATTTTTAAAATTGGACTTGAAGCTAAACACACCACAAAGAAAACTCCAAGGCCAGGCCAGGCCAGGCATGGTGGCTCAACCTGTAATCCTATTTACTCCAGAAGCAGCGATCAGGAGGATCACAGCTCAGTGCCAGCCTGGGCAAAAAAACGCCCCACCTCAACCAAAGCTGGGCATGGTGGTTGCACCTATCATCACGGTATGCACAAACAGAAGAGTCACTATCCACACAGGCCTGGCATAAAGCAAGACTTTATCTCAAAAATAACCAACGTAAGGCTGAGTGCCGGTGGCTCACACCTGCAATCCTAGCTACTTGGAAGGCTGAGAACGAAAGGATTATAGTTTGAGGTCAGTCCAGGCAAGTAGTTCACCAGACCCCCATCTCCAAAATAACCAAAGTAAAATGGACTGGAAGTATGGCTCAAGCAGCAGAATGCTTTGCAAGCACGAAGTCCTGAGTTCAAACCTCAGTCCCATCAAAAATAAAACAAAACAAAAGGCTGGCAGAATGGCTCAAATAATACAGCAGCTGCCTAGCAAGTGTGAAGCCTTGAGTTCAACCCCCAGACCCACCAATTAAAAAAAAAGGAAAAAAAAAAAAACCCACCAAGCCTAGATGACTTCACTGGCAATTCTAACACACATTAAGGAATAAATAGTATGTATATGACACAAACCCATCTAGAAAATTGAAGGGGAGAAAATACTTCCCAACTCACTTTATAAGGCAAACATCACTCTAATAAGAAAACAAGATGGGATTGTTTAGGAAAACTAGAGTCCAGCATCCCACATGAAGGTAGACACAAAAATTCTGAACAAAATTTTAGCACACCAAATCCAAGCTGGGTTTGGTGTGCTAACCAAGTGGGGTTTGTCCTGAGAATACTGTTTGGTTTAACATCTGAAAAAGAAAGTTCACTACATTAACCAACTAGAAAAGAAAATCCATATAATCATCTCAAGAAACTAAAAAAATTCATTTGACAAAATTCAATATACATTCCTTGTAAAAACAAACAGAAGAAAACTTCCTGAACTTGATAAAGGCATCCATGTAAAATCTACAGCTACTATCATACTCCCTGGGGGAAAGACTGATGCATTTCCCCCCAAGATGAAGAACAAGACAAAGGTATCACTGTTAGAATTTCTATTCAGCATTGTACTGGCAAACTTAGGCAATGTAATAATATAAGAACAAGTAAGAAGGAATGAAGATCAAAAAGGAAGATATAAAACTAGAATGGGGTTGGGGATGTACCTCAGTGGTAAAGCACTTGCCTAGCATGTATGAGGCCCTGGGTTTGATCCCTAACACTACAAAAACATAAAACTGTGAGCTGATGGCTCACACTTGTAGTCCTACTTGAGCGTCTGAGATTAGGAGGAATGAGGTTCATTAAAGGCCAAGCCAGCCCAGGCAAACAGTTCACAAGAGCCCATCTCCAAAATAACCACAACAAAACAGGTGTGTTTTAAGCAATAAAGCGCTTGCTTTGCAAACCTAGAAGGCATTAGTTCAAACCCCAATCCCACCAAAAATAAAATAAAAAGTCATGAAATATTTAGGGATAAATATTGGTCAAATGCTGAGATTTATGATGTAAAAAATATCAACTGATATTCAAGAAACCTGAATCCTGGTTCTGACTTGTCTATAGTCTAGAGGTCTTGACGTCTTTTTCCCTTCTCTGGATCTTTTTTCTAATTTGTACAATATTTAATTAGATCAGAGGCTTCTTAATTTTTCAAAATCATGCATGCTTCTGAGAATCTAATAGAAGTCATAGAATCTATCCCAGGAAAATGGTCTCTAAGAGAAGTCTGTATATTACCTGAGGGGAGTTCATGGGCTCTATCTATAAAACTACCAATTTGTATGTATTTATATACAATGGAATTTTATTCAGCCATAAAGAAGACTGAAATTTTGTTCTTTGCAGGTAAATGGGTGGAAGTGGAGAGCATCATGTTAAGTGAAGTTAGCCAGGTTCAGACAACTAAAGGTCGCATGCTTTCTCTCATTTGTGGAAGACAGGCCCAATACAAATACAAGCAATATTATGAAAAACAGGTCACTAACTAAGGGGAGGTCACTAATGGGAGAAGAAGGATAAAAGAAGGAAGTTAAAAAGGTGAGTATGGTTGATGTACTTCCTATTCAAGAATAAATATAGAATTTTTAAACCTGTTGAAGTCATCATAAGAAGGAAACTAAGATAGAAAGGAGAATAGAGGGAATGAACCAGTTAGGGTTATAATACATATATTCATGGAAAGGACACAATAAAACTCCCTGTACAGCTATCTTGAACAAAAATGTCTTTTTTCAAAAGGTGAGAACAGGAAGGTAAAACAGCCAGTAGGAGGAGGTAGGATATAATGAAACAGTGTAGGAGAGTGAATGTAGTGAAAATATTATGTACTCATGTATGAAAAAGGAAAAATGAGACCTGTTGAAACTATTCCAGGAATGGGAGTGGAAGTGGGGGGATAAAGTAGAATGATGGAGGGGGTGAATTCAACCATGATATATTCTAAGAACTTTTGCAAATGTCACAACGTACCCCCAGTATAACAATAATATAATAAAAAACAAAAGAAACAAAGACCTACCCATTTTTCAACACATGGGCCAGATAATCCGAAACCAGTCTCAGTGTCCTAAAGTTCTAAGACTTTGGGAAAATTACTTGACATAAAGGAGAATGTTCATGGAGTCCTAATTGCCATCCATTCCCCAATACTGACCAGTTTGATGGAAGTGGGGTTCTCCACAACCGAGTAGGCAGGCAGAGGCAGCATGATGAACTGAGTGGCTGGTGCAGAGGAACTACTCTCACTGGAATCCTGTGGCAATGGAGAAGAGGACAGTTTCACTGAAACAGAGAACACTCAGGGCCATCCAAACACAGGAAGACTGGATCAAGTTCAATACCCACAGACAATGTACTTACCCAACATGCTTATCAAAAGAAATGAATCTGTGGTTACCTCAAAATAGACTAATTAGAAACACAGAAAGATAGAACTATCACAGGAATGTCCTATTCTCATTTAGAGATTATAGAAAGGAAAGCAATAAAAAACCAAAATTGAGATTCTCACAGACGACTCCCAAGATAACATAAGCAGTTAGTGAGAGAATTCAATTCTTCTGACCTTGTTCTCTTTTTGGCAGCACTAGGGTTTGAACTGGAGGCTTCATGTTTGCTAGTCCCTGTCAAATGTTCTTAAACTATTCTATTTATGCCAGGTGCTGGTGGCTCATGCCTGTAATCCTAGCTACTTGGGAGGCTGAAATTGAGAGGATCAAGGTTCAAAGCCAGTCTGGACAAATAGGATTCAAGACCCCATCTTCAAAATAACCAGAGCAAAACACTAGAGGTGTGGCTCAAGCAGTAAAGTGTTTGCTCTGCTAGGGTAAAGCCCTGAGTTCAAACCTCAGTATCACAAAAAAAAAGAAAGAAAGAAAAAATACTCTGTTCATATTAAACATGTTAGTGGCATGTTTCATTATCATAAACAGCAGGGAGGCAACAATAAAAAGGACTTATTAGGTCTGGGATGGGCTTCTTTGTGGGGCACTTGCTTTCTTTAATGAAGAAAGCATGTTGGCCCTCTTCGCATGAGAGGGAAGGTTACCACCTCTGAGGCTGCCATCCTGTCCAGGTAAGAGGGAAGCTGTACACTAGGCCACTGTAGTGATTCTCCCACTTCCAGCAAACCAGATCATGGAATCTGTGAGACTGCTGGTCTCCCCTCAACTTAGACTAGCAGAGATCTGCTTTAGTTTCTCAGCTACTAATCCCATCAGACTGGCCTCAAAGAGAACATCTTTCCATGCCCAGAAATTTCTTTTAACGATTCTCAAATATCATACAGTTCAAGACGTATTGTGTTGAAATAACTTCAGAAACACAAACCTAGGCTTTGGCTCATGGATAACTTAAATACCATTTCCAGCTCTTCTGCCAATGTATCTTATGTACTATCTGATGTGATGAAAATTCAGTCTAAGCTGGACAAAGATCTAAGAATACACAAGAGAAGTTCTCTAAAGGGAAGTATGAAGCAAGCCAAAGGCTCAGAAACATTCAAGAGAACTACAGTGCCACTGTAAGAACCACATGAGCACTCTTAATTACCACTACTCTGACACCACTGCATGGTGCTGACTGCCTATTTAATTACTCCAGATAAGCAATACACATCAGTACCAAAGCCACTTACCCTCATGACTGTTACCACTGATACACTCTCCCCAACCTGGGGGTGGGGTACAGCCAGGTTTCCAGTGGGGAGGTCTGGTGAGCCATTCACTAAGGTCTCTTCAATTACCAGGCTTGTCTGGTAAGGCTGGTGACTTTCCCCTATCTCCAAGGAAGTCTCTTCCAGGAGGACATCCTGGCTGAGGATCTCTGAGGCAGTGATCTCCTGTACAGCACCTGGCTGAGCAAGGGTTCCCACTTCCTCAGTCAGAGCCTCCACAGCCAGGCACTGCTCTGCCATGCCTGCATGGCTGGACACTGTTTCTGGGACAGTGCTAGACACAAGAGGAAGTCCTTTAGCAGACATCTGGTTCTGAGCCACACATAATTCTAGCTGAGGGCAGCTCCGGTCCTCCTGCAGGCTGCTCTTGGGGATGATGATGTAATCTGAGCGGGGGAGGATCTTGCGGAAACCCGGGATGTCTGGAACCACAGCAGTCAATGCAGAGAGCTTAGAGTTCTGAGGATGAGGAAGCCAGAAGAGGGAGGCAAGCAGAGAAAAATGAACTAAGACCACACATTTTCTTTCTGCAAAAAGAACTAGAAAGACTTCACTTTTTTGACTTAACCTAGACAAGGGTCAGTCTCCATCAACAGCAATGCCATTTTTATCTGAATCAATGTTACATGTTCAATCACACAGAAAACAGATAATATGGATTGAACTGTGGAAAAGGCACTAATCTTGGAATCTAAAACTGTGAACTGGAACTCCAGGTCTGGTATAGTCTTGAAAAAATCCTCTCCCCACATCTATAAAATGAGTGGGGCTGGCAAAGAGGCTCAAGTGGTAGAGCACATGCCTAGCAAGCACAAGACCCTGAGTTCTACACCCCAGTATCACAAACAAACAAATAAATAACTGAGAGAGTAGAAATGGACCAATTTATGAGTCCCTTTCAAGCTTTGATATTTCAGAACTCCAAAGTAGTATATGAGACCAGGTATAGGGGTGCACACCTGTAATCTCAGACAGGAGGAGGAGACAGGTTAGAGGCCAACCCAGGTTAAAAAAAAAAAGACCCTATCTCAAAAATAAGCTGGGCATGGTGGTACATGACTATTAATCCAGCTATGTGGGAGACAAGAGGTAGGAGAATCATGGTCTGAGGCCAACCCTGGGTAAAGAGCACAAGATCCTTTTTTTTTTTCTTTTTCTGCCTCCTTCTGTGCTAAAGCAAAAAAGGCTGGGGGGGCCCTTTTGGCTCTCTGAGCAGCACTGAGCAGGCAAGAACAAGCGCCTTACAAAAGGCGGCAAGAAGGGAGCCAAGAAGAAAAAAGTGGTTGATCCATTTTCTAAAAAAGATTGGTATGATGTGATAGCACCAGCCATGTTCAATATGAGGAACACTGGAAAGACACTCATCAAGAGGACTCAAGGAACCAAAATTTTCTGATGGCCTCAAGGGTTGTATGTTTGAAGTGAGTCTTGTCGATCTGTAGAATGATGAAGCTGCATTTAGAAAATTCAAGGATGAATTTCTGAGGATGTCCAGGGCAAAAACTGCCTGACTAACTTCTATGGCGTGGATTTTACCGATGACAAAATGTGTTCCATGGTCAAAAAATGGCAGACCACGATCAAAGTTCACGTTGGTGTTAAGACTACCGATGGGTATTTGCTTCGTCTGTTCTGTGTCAGTTTTATTAAAAAAACGCAACAATCAGATACGCAAGATCTCTTATGCTCAGCACCAGCAGGTCTACCAAATTCAGAAGATGATGATGGATATCATGATCCAAGAGGTACAGATAAATGACCTGAAGGAAGTGGTTAATAAAAGCATTGGGAAAGATATAGAAAAGACTTGCCAGTCTATTTATCTACTTCATGACTTCTTCGTTAGAAAAGTAAAAATGCTCAAGAAGCCCAAGTTTGATCTGGGAAAACTCATGAGCTTCACAGTGAAGGTAAGTGGTTCTGGAAAAGCTACAGGTGATCAGACAGGTCATGGATATGAACAACCAGTCCAAGAATCTGTCTATAAGTTCAGATTTTTAATAGTGACAATTAAAACATCCTATTTGTGGGGGGAAAAAAAAAGGCTGGGGGCATGGCTCAAGTGGTAGAGTGCTTGCCTAGCAAGAGCAAGGTCCTGAGTTCAAACCCTAGTACCACCCAAGAAATAACCAAGCAGCATACAATCTAAACACTAGAATGTATAAATGCTCAATAAAAAACCCAAAAAGCATAAAATGCAACTTAACAGGCTGATTTGGAACTTGAGGCAGCAAGTTAGGGTTCTGACCTCACTGGTTCCTCCAAGAATTACAAAGAAAATGATGACCCACGGGTGTTGGTGCACATCTAATAATCCCAGCACTTGGGAGGCAGAGGTAGGAGGACCTCAAGTTTGAGACCACCCTGGGCTAAACAGCAGAGCTTTGGCTCAAATAAATAAATAAATAAATAAACAGCCGGGTGCCAGGGGCTCACACTTGTAATCCTAGCTACTCAGGATTTGGAGAGCAGGAGGATTGCAGTTCAAAGCCAGCCTGAGCAAATAAGTTTGTGAGACCTTATCTTGAGAAAAAAACCTTCACTAAAAAAAGGGCTGGTAGAGTGGCTCAAAGTGTAGGCCCTGAGTTCAAGCCCCAGTACCAGGAAAACAAAACAAAGCAAAGCATAACAAGGAAGATGCAAACAGGTCACAAAGCTGAGAAGGCTTCCTGAGTGAAAGTATATATAGCAAAGGATAAGGTCCTGAATATATTAAGAGGAAAAAAAGAATAGTAAGTATTAACACTAACCTAACTTTAGAAAATGCTTTCAAACCCATGATCTAATTTTACCTTAAAAACAACACTGTTAAGTTGTTTTATTCCCATTTAATACAAGGAAATAAAACATAATACTCAGGGGGCAAACTTCCAAAACACAAAATTAGTAAGTACTAAAAGTCTGAACTCCAGGCTACGTCTTCTAAACATTAAGAAGACCAGGTACTAGAAAAAGCCTTGTATAGCTAATTGATACCAAGAATCAATTATTTATTTATTTTTTTTGGACTTAAACTGAAAGTCATCCAGTAACAGAAACAAGTTCAAAGTGAGTGGTTAAGTGAGAACTCAAATTCAATGGACCAAAATAAATAAATAAATAATTTTAAAAGGAACACTAAACTTAATCAAAAGCCAAGAAGTCAGTGAGATTACTTAAGGCACAAAGGCAGCATTCAGAGATAAGAGGTAAAAGAAGCACTCAGGTGAAACATGAAAAGTGGATAGATTGAGTCCTTTATGGAGCCTTTATTGGAGAGGTAATGGGAAAATGGCATTCTCAAGTCACCCTTTGAAGCAGATAGATTAGAGGAACAAGACAAAATAATGACAAATACACAGGATGGTCTGGACTGAATTCAAGCACGGAGAAACCAGGATGATCAGAATGACACTGATTTTCCAGACTGAAGGAATAACACAGGAACCACAGTCCCTGCACGTGGCAGGAGACCTGAGGGGACACTGAAGAGATAGCCTACCAAAAGGGCTCCAACAGGCTCCCAAAATATACAGACAGGAAGGTCTCATCCTCACACCAAACAATTTGGGAGAGGACAAACAGCATAGAAAGCTTCCCCCAATCTTGGTACATGCTCAATAAATACCACCTTTTCTTAGTATATGATTATTGGGTACTTAATCTACTTGAGAGTGACATTTATGAAACAAGTTAGTATGTGCCAAGAACTCAGCTAAGTGATTTACATTTTATCTACCTTAAATATTATGAGTAGAGAAAGTTTCATTTTACCAAGACTCAAAAGTTATATGATAGGCTGAGGAATTGGCTCAAGTGGTAGAGTGCTTGCCTAGTATGTACAAGGCCCTGAGTTCAATCTCTAGTACCACTAAATTCTTGCAAGGTCCTTCAGCTAGTTAATTACCAGAGCTAACCTATTCATGATCTTGGCTGCAGTGGTGGAGATGGGTAAATATAAATAAGCACACAAATAAGGAAGAATCATTGCAGATATTTACTTAAAAGTTTTAAAGTGCTGGTAAAGATCTCTACTTGTGCCTAGTTTTAAAAACCAAATGAGTCCAGGATTAGATAAAATTTAAGGACTGCTGATTTCTTCTTGTGCTGGGGATTGAATTCAGAGCCTGAAGTATTCTCTACCACTGAGCTATATCCCTTAACTCCAAAGATTGCCTGTTCTGTAAGGCACAAACCAAAGGAAACAGGTGTACTTTTCTGATGCTATACCTCCCCTCCTTCCTCAGGGATTATTTCCCAGACTCACTGTTTATAAATAAATCATCTAGCGGAGGGATTACAGAGTGGCACCTTTGAGTGTAGGTTAAACAAAGCTCCTTGAAGAAGAGAATGTCAAGCCAGTAAGGATAATATAATCTAAATGGAAGTGGCAGATAGTCTCCAAGAAAGGAAATAAAGCATGTTTTGCTGTGTTGTGGCCTTCCAAAGGAATTTTTGCTCTACATTAACAAAAAAGAAGTTTGAGACACTGTTTAAATTCAAAGAAGAGGGTGGTGGAGTGGCTCAATCAGTACAGTGCCTGCCCAACAAGAACAAGGCCCTGAGTTCAAATCCCAGTACTGCCAAAAGAAAAAAGGAAATTCAGGTTAAAGGAATTCAGCTTGCAGTTATTTTTCCTGCAGGAACTTCAATTTTTAAAAACCCACGTGGGAGTATAGCTCAATGGTAGAGTGCTTGCTTATATAGCATGTGTAAGGTCCTGGGTTCCAGTCCCAGCACCACAAAAACAACCACCAGCAATTCAATGGTCATTGGTATGTTTTGTTACAGTAAGTCCGAAATAACAAAATTGCAGACAAACATAAACCTAAATGCTTTCTTGCGGATTTTTTGGGGGGTTGGGGCTGGGATTTGAACTCAGGGCTTTGTGCTTGCAAAGCAAGCACTCTACAGCTTGAGCCACACCTCCAGTCCATTTTGCTCTGGTTATTTTAGGGATAGGGGTCTCATGAACTATTTGTTTAGGCTTCCAATCTCAGCCTCCCAAGTAGCTAGAATTACAGGCGTGAGCCACCAGCACCCAGCTCCTTATTAATTCCTTAGTTCAAGTGTTCAATCTCTGCCATCATCTTTGACTTTAACCTTGCATTTCTGCTTCTAGCATAGTTTACAACCACCAGGAGTAACAAAAGAACATGGTATTATACAAAGTAGCTATATCTTACCTCTAACCACGCAAGCCTAATTTCTGATTATGTTATAAATGACACCAGTCAGTATGACAAAGTAATTACACTACATTTCATTTGTAATATGAAAATATGGTATAAGGGAAATGCCTAGATAAGCTACTATATTAAAGGGAATTAACTAACCATTAGAATAAGGAGCTCCAAATTACACTATAATTCAGAAAAGGAACCTAAGGCTCACTGCAAAGAACTCAAAATATCAGCTCCATATACTCTTTGCAACCAAAGACGGCAAAAGGAGTATACCATATCAGACTCAGAAAGGTAAAAGTTTTCCCAAGAGAAGGAAGTAGGAGAACCAAGGGCCTTAAACTGGAAAAAAATTACTTACAGGATCCAAACCTTCTTTCTCTAGTTTGGCTTTCTCTAAGTAGTAACTCCTCTCAGCCACGCTGAGAAGCCTCCAACTCTCACTAATCTTCTTATTGATCTCAGACTGCGGGAGGTGGGGGAGCTCCTGCTGCACTTTCAGGTAGATGTCATAGTAGTACAAAAGGTAAGCCGACCTGAGGAAGCAATAATTTCTCTTATACAACCAGTATGTTACAATGTTAGTGGTTGGGTAAATTAGGAAGGTGATACAAAACCCAGCATCTCAATTCCAAGCATTTATCTAATAGAAACTGAAAGTCAAGCAAAGAATATTTATAATACCTTTATGGTATTTGGGAAGTAGGCAAAATGACAGCCACTTGCTGCCTTAACTATTGAAGGGAACAATACCCTTCAACTTGGAAGCAAAGGTTCATCTGGTTTACTTTTCCATGGACCATTTCTGCAGGAACAACTGGCTTTGAAACCCAATATAGCCAAAGAAAGATACAAATATCCTGTCATTCTACTCTAAGGGAGACATTACTGAGGGAACTGATTGCCCAGGCTGGTTATCACTCACACTCTTTACTCCTCTACAAAGACTTTGACTATCTAACTAGTCAAAAGCACCTCAAGGTTGAGAAAGGAAATTAAGAAGAATAATCAAAATCAACCAATGCCTCAGCAAGAAGTCTGCAGTGTTCACAGAGAAGAGGGAGATTAAAGCTATCTGGATATTCCCTGGATATTCTCTACAAATGTCACTGGCACCACTTACAATTCTGTAATTTTATTAAGGCCCTGTGTTAAATATTTAAACAATGGTACTTAAAAAAATAATGTAGTTCTTTTGTACATAGATTCTACCATCTGGATGGTATAACTTCCTGTGACAGTCTGGCAACATTAAGCAATGCCTGGCAGGAACGACACATGTTAGCATAAATCCCACCACTTTCCACTCCCCATTTCCCTCTTCCCCCACCCCAATGCCCATTTAGACTTTGCCAATTGCACCCTTTCTCAATGAACCTTAGAATTCCTCCTCAACCACCTCTCTAAGCAGCTTGTTCATAAATGCCAGCAGCAACCAAGAAGTGTTGGCTAACCTGGGTTTCTTGGCCTTTTCTCCATGCATTTTATATTTTTTCTTCTTCTTGGGTGGTCCAGGGGAGGTATAACAGTAGGCTTCCTCAATTTCCTCCATCAGGACAGTTACCTCAGTACCACCATACGATGCATCCATGGCTAGAAGAGAGGACAGTCAAACACAAAGTTTTAAGAATGCACCCTAAAAGGGGCAGCAGCCTCCGCATCAAATAATCCCTTACCTCTCTCAGGGCTGTAAGGCTTAGCCATTTCCTAAACTCAAGATCTTAAGGAGCACACTTGATAAAAATAGATTCCAGGGTGCTACTTCACCCTTCTGAATCAGAATTCTTACAGGGTATGGTATGGAAAACTGTATAAGTAACAAATGCCTCAGATGATTCCTCTCAGCAGGCAAATTTGGGACCACAGGCTTAGCCTTTTCACTTATCTTCACTCACAGGGTACAGTAGTTCATCTACTCAGATTTATTGGTCCCATATTACAAAAATTCCACATGGAAACAGGTAAAAAGAATACCCGGCTAGGAATTAGAAGTTCTGGGCCCTCCCTCACCTGTATCCTCACCTTAAACAGCTTCAATGAGTCATTTAGTCATTCACTCAAACAAAGCAATAAGGACCTATATACAAGTTTCTTTACACTCTGTCTGCTTGTGTGATTTGGTGGAAGGTGTTTTAACTGCTTTAGGTTCAGTTCTCTCTCTGTAGAAGGGAGGGAGGGAGAAAGGAAGGAAAGAAGGAAGAAGGAAGGAGAAAAGAGGTCTCATTCACCTCCCCACAGATTATAGTGGTACTCAAAGGATCTAATAGATACAATTGTATTTGAGAACAGTTAAGTGCTGTACAAATTAAAGGGTTTATTATTTAAGATTATTATCTATAGCTGAGATGCTTAACAACCTGCCCAAGGGCCCACAAGGCCCGGTGGCCAAAAAAAGACTTGGGATAGGTTTTCAGTTTAAAAACCCAATTTCCTGGTCCCTTTTTTTTTTTTTTGGCAATGTCAGAGTTTGAACTCAGAGATTCACACTTGCTAAGCAGGCATTTTACAGCCTGAGTCATGCCACCAGTCCCCTGGTCCTTTCTCATAATGCTATACTGCTACCTATCTCAACTGGTAACCCTCTCTACCAGAACTATTCAATAGCTTCTCCAAGAGAAAGTTTCTACATCTATGCTGTATAGCATAGTAGCCACTAGTCACATATGACTGACAGATGCTTGAAATAGGGCTAATGTGACTGAAGAAAGAGATTAAATTTATTTTGCTGGACTATAGTTAATTTAAGTAACCATACATGGCTAGTTGCCTTAGTATTGGACAGCACAGGTCTAAATTATAGCCTGATAGACCAGCTCTCTGGTGCTGGCCTAAAAAAAGAGACTCTACTAACAACTTTTATGTCTAGGAAAAGGCAGACATTAAAAAACAACAACAACAAAAAAAACCGTGAATGAGTAGTTTAAGAAGAATAATTTCCTTGTGACCAAGTTCTAAGGTGGAGTTTTATCAACGCAGCTCTTGGAAGGAGAAAGGTTTCCAGAAAAGACTTGAATCTTATGAGAGGGAAATATAGTTTCTACTGAAGAGCTATCATAAGACGAGGACTCTGGAAAGGAGGTGTGCTAGTAAACCCAGGAATGATGAGTGTAGTACAAAGCCCACTCCACAATGATAAGCGTAAGGAGACAAAGCAGACCACATGTGGAGTCAGAAGATGGATCCAAGGCTAAACTCTTACCACGTGGTCACAGACAAGATATTCCACACCCTAAATTTCAGGTGTTTCCATTGTGAGATGAAGAGGATGAACTTAGTGGTGCCTAAGCTTTAGTGAGGCAAGAATCTTTTTGACAGATGTTGTGAAAACTAAAATCCCACTCCTAGAAAGTGCAGACACAGTACTTCACCTCTAATTTTAAAGATATGCCTCAGATTAAAAACATATTATTCCTAAGGTCCTTTGTATTCTGTGTCATCTCTAAATAATTCATCTTCTTCCCCTCCCCTAAAACCTCACAAAGAAAAATCAAAATAAACCTGCGTTGTAACTGTCATAGTACAACTTAGGAAGAGAACACAGTCCACAACTTAGCTGGGTAAGCAAAATGCAAAAGGGCAGGGGAAGGAGGGGTTCAAATCAAACTGGAGCGTTCTCTTTTTATAATTGACTTCCTTGCCCTTGAAAGTCTTGTGGAGAAAGCACTAACTCCAATAGAGCATCTGTAAAGAATGACATCTAAGGTTTTAGCACCCAGAGCAAGGTAAGTTAAGAATCAAAGTCAATACAAACACCCTGGGGTGGGGCAGAAAGGAACTCTCCAGTTCTAAGCCTGGGTATGAGTATATTGTCAGATCCAAAGGCCTCAGTGCAGCAATGCAAAGAAAGGCAGGCTAATGTGAAGGTTAAAAATAAGGGCTCTGGAGGACAGAAGGTCTGGGTACCACTACGGACCCCTTATATGACCTTAAGCAATTTACTCACCCTCTTAAAACCTTAATTTTTTTTTTTTAACCTGCAAAACAGAGAGGAAGGAAGGAACACTTGATCTGTCCCTTTAGATACTCCTAGGAACCTCATCAGATGGCCTTTGACGGCTCAGCCATGGGCCACGGTTTGACTCTGGGCTAGTTTCTTTCCCTCTCTGGGTCTCAGACGTTCCAAAGGCATGGACTGGGGGAAAAGGAAACTGAGGCTCACTGACCCTGCTCAGCAGAGCGTTAACAGAAGCTCAGAGCGCCGCAGCACCCGGATCGAGGTCCCCCAGCGGGTGGGTCGACAGCGCGGCGTGACCCCCGAGGGCGGGACTTACCCGGAGGAGCGTGCGAGCCGCGCGGCTCACATTCCCCGAGGCGCCCGGCCCAGGGGCTCGACGAGGGGGCTTGCCGACGCACTCGCGCTCCCCGCGGTGGGCGAGAGGCGGCTCCAATCGCGACAGCGGCAACAAGGAAGTGGAGGCGAGGGCTCGCGCACGCATCCCGGGGGCTGGAGGAGCCCCGGCCCCGCGGCCCCGCCCGGCGACACACGGCGCGGAGTCGCGACAACCCCTCTCGCTCTTCTCAGAGTTGCGATATGGAGTCGTGAAGGGAGAGTGTAAGAGCACAGGCTCGCTCCACGGGCTCCTCACCACACCTGCCAAGGGCCCCGGGGATCAAGCCCCGGGGAGCCCGAGGAAGACAGCAAGGACACAAGCGTCGCTGCGACACCGACTCAGTGGTGGCACAGGCGGCAGCAGCAGCACACCACGGATCGCCAGGGAGACCCTTCCCAGCGGCCCTCGCGGCGCACCGGAAGCGGCCGGCGGCGCGTGACTCCGTGCGACCCCTAGCGCACGCGCAGCAGTGCAGCCCTAGCTGGAGATGGGAGGACGGATCCCTAGGAACCACTTAGAGGGTGGAAGAGGGGCTGGTAAGGCGGACGAACTGCTTCCGGCCAGAGGTTCAGGGCATGGGAGGAAGCTGGGGCTGCCGGCTGTGAGGCGCCTGGGCGTCTCAGCCCCGAGGCACTGCCGTGGGGCGTTCAGATAACAGGTCGGACTGTGCCTGTCGTCAGGCGTGGAGGCGCCGCCTTACCTCGCACAGCCACGTGAGGGCGCCGGGGAGCCTACAGCACCCCCTCTCCCCACCCCTCCGTAGCTGCCCGCCCCGGTTCAGGAGAGGGTTGATACTCGGTGCTGCCTTAATTCCCATTCCTCGCTCTCATCTGCCCTCAGTCGGCCTCCCATTGTCCCACAAATAGTAACACCACTGAATTCCCGGAGTGTGGGGAGGCTCTGGGAATCAGAGATTGGATTGTCACCGATTGTGCCACATTTGAACAAGATCCCGCCCGACCCCTTGCAAATGTGTTTCCAATCCGCCGACTTTTTTTCCTTTTACCCCTGGCACCAGCTTCCCAGCCACCATCATCTCCTGCCTGAGCTGGAGTTCTTCTCCCTCCCATCCTGTCCCTTTAAGGTCTGTTCTCCACACTGCATCCACATTGATCTTTCTGCGCTGTAAAATCTGATCGGGTAACCCCCTGCCTAACTCGTGTCTTGTCTCTGACTTAGAATAAACTTCAAACTTCTGAACATGGAGATGTAGCTGGGTGGCAGAGCATGTGTAAGGTCCTGGGTTCTATACCCAGCACCGGAAAAAAAAAAAATTTTTTTTTTTCATCCTTCTTGGTTTGGCCAAGACTTCGGTTTGGCTCTTCATTCTCTTTCCACTTCTCCTCAATATTGGTAGTTCTCAGAACAAGCTCTAAAATACAGAGCATAAGCTTTGTCCTGAGTCACCCTAGATTGGAATGCCGGCCCTACCACGAATAAGCTGTATTGAGCATGTAAAGTGCTTCACAAATTATTTTTACATAGTAGATCCTCAATAATTGGTCCCCATCTCAGTAAATGACACCACCATCAATCAGTTGTTAGTGCTCAAATCAGAAATCTTGAGTTATCCTTCACTCCTCCTTTACCTCACATCCATCCTATCAGCAAGGCCTGTAAAACAGCCCCAACTGAATACTGCTCACAATTGCCTCTACTACTCTAATCCAAGCCATCATGGTATCTCATCTGGACCCTTGTTTTTTGTTTGTGAGTTGTGCTGGGAATTGGGCCCAGGGCCTTGCACATTCACTGTACCACTGAGCTGTACTCCCAGTTCCAGGACTCCTGCTTTTTCTGTGACACCCATTAATTCCATTCTTCACAGATTCTACCCTGCAACCAGAGGACTCGCTCTAAAGTGCAAATCTGATGATGTCATTCCACAAAAACAAAAATGTCGGAAGACTTCTTACTGCTCCAAGATCAAGATAGAATCTTAACTAGGCTTTTGTGATTTGGTTCTGCTTTCTTCTCCAAAGACTCATTTTTGCCTGACCATGACATTTTATTTCCTATAGGACTTCATTATCTTTACATATATTTCTTTACTTGTCATGAATTCCAGTTTTTTATTTAAGGCCTAGTATATTACTTCATCTTGGAAGTACACTACCTTATCCATGACCCATCCCTGTTGATTATCCCAACTTCTGTGTTCCCATAATACTCTCTAATCTCTGATACAGTCTATCATACATTCTACAACTTGTCTTCCCTGCTTTCCTGCCTGTTGTGCTCCTCAATGGTAAGCACCATGCTCCCACTCTGTATGGCTGTCATTGAGCATAGTGCTTGACATATGCAAGATGCCATGAATAGACAGGTGTGTGTGGTGGTAGTGATTAAAAAAAACAAAAACAAAAAAACAAGGGGCTCCTAGAGTCGAAAGGGGGAGGGGAGGAAGGAAAAAAAAAACAACAAAACCTGCTGTTGAGAAGGGTCCCTGTTGAGAAGGGTCACTCACAGCATAAAGTCACAGCATCTTCTTTTGTCCTTTAAGGACTCGCAGATAGTTACCAACAGTGAGTGGTACTGCTGGATCTTGTGTTTGACCAGCCTTGGAAGGGGAGGTGTTTGTTTTAAATTCTTAAAAGCTCTAGACAGGACACACAGACGACATTCTCCAAATACCTTATCCCTGCTTTGCTTATGCCACCATCCTGACCCCTGAAGGTATTTGAGTTTGAGGAGTCTATCTAGGGTCCAGTACTTGAATGTGGGGAAAAAAAAACCTTAGGAATCATCTGATCTTGTGATTTGCAAACTTGTTAGACAAAAGAATCACTGAGAGCTTTTCAAAAATACACATTTCCTCATAGAGGACCGGACATGATGGTACATGCCTGTAATCCTGGCACTCAGGAGGCTGAGGCAAAAGAATCCAGTTGAAGGCCAACCTGGTGCAACCCTCTCTCAAAAGAAAAATGCAAAACAGGTTAGGACTCTCCCCTTCCCTCCATGAAAACCTTAAATGTATTTCTGTTGCACTCAGTAAAATATCAACTCCTTATCCCAGCATCTTTGAGTAGCCTGGGTCTCCACCTCTGTCATATACTTGGAGTCATGCAAATCCTTCTGTTCTCTGAATACCTGAAGCTCTTTCCTGCTTTTAAGATGTGGTTCATGCTGTATCCTTTGCTTTACTGCTCTTCCCCTCTGCTCTTCATAGAGACCCCAACTTAATGCCATTTGCTCAGTAAGGCTACCCCCGACCACCCCTTTGTACATAGATTTTCTCTTTTTTTGTGTGTCAGTGGTACTGGGAATTGAACTTAGTACCTCACACATTAGCAAGTAGTCTACCACTGAACTATATCCCTATTCCTTTTAAAAATTTTATTTTGAGACAGGGTCTCTCTAAGTTGCCCCCAAATGGCCTTAAACTTGTGATCCTCCTGCTTCAGCCTCCTGAGTAGCTGGATTACAGGTTTATACCACCATTGCTGGGCAGATCTTTCCCTTATATTTCTTCATATACTTAACCACATTCTGTAATTACCTTATTTATCTGTTTATTTATTGTTTATCTCCCCTACCACATTTTATACTTCATAAAGGTAAGATGTTAAAACTGGGACTGGAGGTTTGACTCATGTGGTAGAGCACCTGCCCCAGGCCATGAATTCAAACCCCAGTACCACAAAAAGAAAACAAAAGAGATCTTGACTCTGTTATTCATTATTGTGTCTTCACAGCTTGGCACTTGTAAATACTCTTTAAATGAAAAGATCAGAAATGGCTTCTCACAGTGAAAATGTTTTCAAGCTAGATGGTGAGAGAGCTTTTTTTTTTTTTTTTTTTTTTTTTTTTGTGGTACTGGGGCTTGAACTCAGGGCCTACACCTTGAGCCACTCCACCAGCCCTTTTTTGTGATGGCTTTTTGCGAGATAGGGTCTTGCAGAACTATGTGCTCCAGGTGGCTTCAAATTGCGATCCTCCTGATCTCTGCCTCCTGAGTAGGTAGGATTACAGGCGTGAGCCACCAGTGCCCGGCAGTGAGAGAGCTTTGAAGAAATCCTTTTGGTAGAATTTCAAGCAGGACCATGGAGTGACAGACACAGAACTAATCTGAGTCAAGAAATCTAAGCCACATGAGCCTGAGTTAGCCTCTTCTTCAGGCTTGTTTCTTTAGCCATAAGGCAAGCTGAATAATGGCTCCTTGAGTTCATGCACTACATTGCTATTTGCAAAGCTCTTTTACCACCTATTTCAATCTGTTCTCATAGTAAACAAAGCAGACATTGTTGTTCCCATTTTTACTGAGGTTCAGAAAGTTTAAGCAAACTAAATTATTTGTAAGATCCCTTCTGTTTCACATGTCGTATGAGTCTGTGTAAGCAGTCTACTATCAACAAAAAATCAGCATGAATCCTATCTTCTCTTTGTCCTTATTTCATCATTTCCTAATAGAATTTTTAAGAATCTGAACCCATGAGCCAGGCAAAGTGGCTCACATCTGTAATTCCAGCTACTAGGGAAGCAATATTGAGAGGATCACAGTTCCAGATCAGCCTGGGCAAAGTTAGACCCCCATGTCAAAATAAGCCAGGCATAGTGGTTCCTGCCTGTGATCCCAGCCACTCAGGAGGTGCAGGTAGGAGGATAGAGGCAAGAGACTTGCCCCAGGCAAAAATGCAAGATCCTATCTGAAAACTAAAGTAAAAAATGGGCTGGTGCTTTGGCTCAAGTGGTAGTGTCCACCTAGCAAGCATGAGCCCAGTGTACAAACCCCAGTACTGCCAAAAAAAAAAAAAAATCTGAACCTATCTTTTAGGGAATATTTGTTATCTTTGGTTCCTGATAGGTTACTCCATTGTTTTCTCAGTTTTCCACACTTGTGGCAAAACAGGCTGTGAGGAAGAAGAGACACAGCTCTTATTAGTTGTGGCCCAGCCCTCATCCCCTAGAAATGGAAAATAAGGGAAACAGGAAGTGTCAGCTGTTCTTCATAGAGGAGAAAGTGGAAGCTGTAGACTCAGGCAAGAGGAAAGGTAATGTGGCAAAAGAATTTGGTATAACTTCTTCTACATGATCTGTGAGACCCCAGCGGAAAAGGATGAGGAATGCTTTCTATGACGACATTGATAAGGCTGTTTTTGCTTGGTTTCAAGAAATCCATGCCAAAGACATTCTTGATGCTGTCATTCAGAAAAAGGCACTAAACTTGGCCAACATGCTTGGCTATGACAATTTCCAAGCAAGTGTGGGCTGGCTGAACAGATTTAGAGATCACTACTGAATTGTTTTGAAAGTGATCTGTAGAGAGAATGGTGAAAGGTTAATGAATGCTCTAGGAATAGTTAAGGTTAATGAGTGGCATGCAGGGGAAATTATAAAACTGATTGTTGACTGTAGCCCAGATGATACCTTTAATGCCGACAAGACAGGAGTTTTTTTCCAGTTGTTTCCCCAGCATACACTTGCTGCTAAGGGACCATTGTAGAGGAGGCAAGAATGCAAAGCAATGGTTAGCAGGACTCTTTTGTTGTAATGCTTCAGG